ACATTATTTGCCAGGTTTCACTGACTTGCTCAGTAAGCGATTCAAGTTCATCGGTGCAGTCACACTCCATTGGTAGTGAGTGGTGCTTAAAGTTTAACTTGGCCAAATTGGGCTACCGAAGAAACTTCATCAATATGTTACATATAAATTCCTCTTATTCAGTTTGTTTAAACCTAGTAAAATGTGACATCTACTAGTGTCGTTTACTCTGGCGATTATTTAAAACATTTACAACCTGCTGATTCGTAAGTTTCTACTATTAAACATGAGAAGAAAAGCATTATACTTGGTAGCTGCTTATCCCGATACATGTGGTGACCGTTCCGCAGTGGTGTCCTTAGTTCATCAAAATATACTCCTGCACTCTATTAAGGATAAAATTTTACTTTGATAAAGTCACACAGTGTTATACAGTAATATTTTACCGGTGACGTACTTTTTGAGAACAATTCATTACTGCTCATAATCATATCAAGGTACTCACACAACTTTGTTGTGCATTTATAGTGGAATTACCGTGCAATGACCAAATAACTAAAAAGACAAGTTTTGCCCACCTTGAAATTAAGGAATAGAAATAATAATAATAATTACGATTATCTGAATTCAGGAGACCGGAGCAGATTTTCCATCTATCAGACCGCTTATTTTCATATTCCTCTGAGTTCCAAGTAGAACATAGGGATTCAACTTCGATGTTTTAGTAGCGGCGTTGATGCCTTTACAGGGTGGGATCAGCAGACTAACACCAAATCTCCCCAATTTTTTGAGCTTATGATCGGTTAATAAACTAAGTGAGACTTTGGAAGTGTGTTGATTACGGGTCAAACCCGGACCTCTCATGTGTCTGGAGAGAATTTTATTATCGCTGAACCATAGAGGCATCATGCACGACGTCATAAGTCACAACCATTGTATAAGGACGGACGAACGGTAACTAATTTAGTTGTTGCATAGACTGAAGTAGGCGGAGCAGGACTCGAACCTAAGACACATTAGCTGAAAGACAAGTAATTTAGGCCAGTGAAGCAAATCTCATAAATGTATACTAATCAAAATAATTCACGAAAAGAGAGATTACAACTGACATGAATACTCAATTCGTAGCAGGATTCTATGATATTTCAATGGTGGAATTCTCTCCCTCCGGATGCGATTCCAGACCGACGCATTCCTGGAAGTGAGGCCGGCAATTCCACTCCATATAGGGATCAAAACACTACCGTTACTGAAACTTTACAGCTTGGAGCTCTGTACTTCACTCGAAATGCAAAACTACAGGATTCGAACTAACGCCACCTACCTGTTCAACGATTAAGAATATAAAATATAAATATTCTATCCTAGCAACCATACTACTTAAAAACCGGAAACAGTAGTGTATTCAGCTACATATAAAGGAATTGGATCGTTTAACTGATCACTACGTTTAAGTAAAAAAAGATAATTATCAAGCTTAGTAACCCTTATAGGTATTAAAATCAAAGTTTACTGTATACAGTCTATGTGTGGAGGTCCCTGATGATGTCTAGCCGATAAACACCTGAAAGTAGTCAGAGCACAGTATTTATTATTATTATTATTATTCCAGTGGGTTCAGAGTGGAACACAGGACTGCAACAATAGATCTCCACTTTGTTCTGTTTTCTGTTATCCCCTTTAGCTGGGCCTGCAATTGCCCATAATCTCTCATCATCTCCTCCAACTCTCACGATCTCCTCCATGTCACCCCCTAACAGTTGCCCACCTCGTCGTTTGCAATTCGAGTCCCACTCGAGTGATGGCCTGCAGTGAGTGCGATGCCATTCGACGGTTCCTCAACCCGTATGCCCGATCCATCGGCATTTACTCCTAAATATTTGTTGGTTGATAGGTTCTTGATTAGTTTTTCCTCACAGTTTTGTAGTTGCTAATTCTTTCTGGCCGGCTTGCCATTTTTGATCGTCATAATGAAGTCACCTGAAACCGAGCACTTCGGTTCCATCAATCGACAGGAAAATCTAAAATTCAATTGAATAACCAATATGACCAGTTGGACAAGAGGTGGTTCTCGTGGCCCAAGTGGTCTAGTGGATAACGCTTTGGTGTTTGAAACTATGGATTCGAGCCTCGGTGGGAACATCATCACTCACTGGGGAACGCAGGTACATCCAGATGACGAGTCCAAAATAGGACGAAATGAGCATCCTGGATTTCACTGCTAGTCACCATCCACCAATTAAAGAAGGCAGCTGTTGATAAAAGTCTGCAGTAGGCTGTTCGAAATGCTTTTTGTAATGCTGCACACTGCAAGTTGCTGACCCGCATAGAAGAACTGACTTGACATTTGTGTTGAAAATTCGACTCCTGTTCTTTATGATGAGTTAGTGCAGCAGATTTGCAAACTGATTTCAGAGTGAGAAATGTCTCTGTTGTGTCAGCCAGGAACCGGTAAAAAAAAGTCTCTATAAGACCTGGACGTCATGGGTGATTTATGCCTTGTGGTTCACGAACTCGAATATTTACAAGTGATAGTCAAAAAACTCATAGAGAATTCTAAAAGCTCACTTCACATCGAAGTATGCGCTGAAGATGTTGCTCAGTAGAGCAATGAAAGCTTCGCAACCAAACCATCCAGCTCAGAGAACACAACCACACCAAAATCATCCACCTGAGCTACAAATCTTCTCTATTATATCTATAGTCAAAAAACCAGAAGAATAGGTACCGAAAACAGGACACAGAGAAGACGAGGATGATACTTATAGGCAGTCAATAACAATAACAAGCACGTATCACCAACAGCAGGAGAAAACTCAAAGGATATCCTGTTTCACTCATCTAATCCAGGCAAGCATCGTTTCAACTACAGGTGGCACGGATGTGGAAAACAAAACCAAAGTGGAACCAACCACCAATGAGGAACAGGATCTGGATTTTCAACACTCATATCAAGTGCTTCTATACAGTCCACAGACTTTCCACGACCACAGGATTCCTAGCAGACCATTACACACTTACAGTAATAGTTGCCTACACTACCTCAATACTGAAAATCATATGGCCAGCTGGAAAGAAGAATAAGTATAACAAGGAACTATGACAGCGTACCAGCCAACACCTTATCGACCAACAAATATGCAGAAGGATTGAAGACACACAGTGAGGAGACCATGGAGTAATATCAAACAGCAGGTTGATCCTGAAATGGAACTCCAATGGGAAATTTAGAGGTCGGCGTGCAAGCGTTATGTAGGATAGATTATGTGAAGAGGAAATCCAAGCTTTTAGGCAATTGCCGAGTCATCTGAAAGTGATCGGAGAGAACAGAATACTATGCACAAGTGTTGCTGACGCTCCATGTTCCACTCACAACCCATAAGACGAAGAGCAATATAATAATAATAGCAGTACAAAGACTCTAACTTATACATCTTGCTGACAATTGGCAATAAGCAGAAAAACAAAGAGGTTGAGGGTTTTTTCCTCAACCGAGAAGTAATATGGAAACTACTTCAACACTATGGCGTGCACTGCCCAAGGCTTTGTCAACCTCGCTCAACAGCTGGCTATACGACAATACCATGTGTCAAGTGATCCACAACGGAAAACTCAGAGAAAACTCAGACATACATACAGGAGTAAGACAAGGTTACCAGTCTATCATCACCGATGATATTCTTAATTGTAGTGGACTGGATTATGCGTCAGACTGTGTTTAGGCAGCGAGGAGGCAGGAATACGCTGGACGATCGATAAGAAGACTCTCGGTCGGTCGGTCAGTTTTCGACATAGAACTTTGCACATATGTGCGGCAGTTCAAGTCGCCACACTCCATGTAGCACACAAAGCAAGAGAACAAAGTAGAAGAAATGCATAATATAGACAGTAAACAGAGGTGAGAGACAAAGGAATAGTAATAACGGAGAACAAAACAGTTTCATTGGAAATCATAAGTCACAAGGAGTGGATGCATTTGCGCCACTGAGAACGATTTTGAGCCATGTCACCAATCGTTTCCAACCATAAGAAGACTCTAGAAGATCTGGATTTCGCAGATGATATATGTCTAATGTCATACAAACTCGAAGACTTGCAGACGAAAACCAAGAGGTTGAAGAGGCTGGTAGCGAAGAGAGGACTACAGGTGAACATGGAGAAGACGAAAGTGATGGAGATAACCAACCAACACCAGCAACAACAACTGGCACCTATCACCATCATCAAGGGGAGAGGTTTAACAGAGGTTACCTCCTTCACCCGTGTGGGAAGTATCGTTTCAATTACAGGTAGAACGGAGGAAGATGTCAAAGTCAGATAAGATCGGAAAGGCAAGATACGCCTTCATCAACCTGAAACCAGTTTGGAAATCTTCCTCACTCAACATAAGCAACAAGATTAGCATTTCCAACACAAATGTGAAGTCAGTCAGTTCTTGTATACGGGTCAGAAACTTGGCGTGTGTCACAAAAAGGATTTCCAACAGCCTGTTGCAGACTTTCATCAACAGCTGCCTTCGTTGTTTCCATAATGAAGATCAAATGGCCAGAAAGAATAAGCAACAAGAAACTATGGGAACAAACCAACATGCAAGAGCCGATCGCTCAACAAATATGTAGGAGAATGTGGAGATGGCTCGGGCATACATTGAGGAGGCCGCCGAATGACATCGCATGCAATGCAGGCCATTTCTCGAGAGGAATCCAAATGGGAAGCGACGAGTGGGTCGTCAGTGCGAAGGTAACATGGAGGAGATCGTGTGAGTTGGAAGAGATGAGAGAGTTTGGTCAATCGTGTGGCTAGCCAGCTGTAGAGGACGGCAGAAAACAGAAAGAAATTGGAGATGTGTTGTTGAAGCCCGATATTCCACTCGGAACGCAAGGAAATAATAATAATAATCAGGGTTTTGTGCGTAGCAGAAATTTAAATCTTGTAATTGTGAATAGTGAGTTTAAATTCATTACACATACATGCACACACACAGAAAAAAGGATAATATAGTAAATCTAAAAGAAACCTACCACTATATTATTATTACTACTATTATTTGAATTCGAAATACCAGCTTCTTCTGTTGAAGGTTTTTCTTCGTCTTGACAATCTTCTACTGATTGCCAAGAGTTTGTAGATGACTCTAGAAGATTCTTTGGTAGTCGATCACAGTCAATAACAGTAGCATCATTAACAGTTGTAGTACACTTTTGTACTTCAAGACTACTTTCAAGAACCTAGTAGATAAAGAAAGACAAATAGGAGAACAAACAGGTGTGTTTAGATAAACAAACACGACATGACGAACCAGCGTATAATTAATTCTGCATACATATGAAAGTATTGGTTTTGTAGGGGTTTTGTTCGATTGGCTGGAGGATTTCATCATGAGCTGACATCAGTTAGAGAACCATTGGAAAACAAACTGGGAGTACTGGACAGCTGTTTCGTCAGCCTAGTTCGGGACTCTTTGGAAGTACACACCCACCAACGGGGTTCGAAACCAGGACCTTCTGGTTACAAGGCGAGCTCGTATATCTCTAAGTGATGTCAGCTCATGATGAAATCCTCCAACCAATCAAACTAAATTCCTACAAAACCAATCCTTGAAAATTAATCTGATGCTCACTAGCGACAGGCCTTATTCAGGCAGCGGCCTAGGGTTCTAGTGGGAAGCAATGACGAATAGGGTGCAGCAGGTTGAAGGTGAGGCAGTAGCTCATCGAAGAAGACATTGCAAAGTGGTCGAGCTATGTCGTGAATTGGTAGAAGTTAAAATTCATATGCTGGCCATTGGATCGGATCCCAGTGGCTTAATGGTCTACGAGCTCGCTCGCCTTGTAACCGGTAGGTCCTGGGTGCGTACTGATGATCAGTCCCAACTTAGGACGAAACAGCTGTCCCGTACTCCCTGCAGGTTTTCCAATGGTTCTCTAAATGATGTCAGGTCATGATGAAATCCTCCAACCAACCAAACATATGAAAGTGTCATAATGAAAAACAGCACAAAAGGTGACATTAGTATTATCTGATCGAAGATCATATTATCAACATAATTTCAAATGAAAGTCCATATCTCTCATTCTTCTATAACTAATCGATATAGAGAGATAAATTTTATCATAGCGGAACTCAATTATCACTAAGATAAAATTAATCAACCAATATTCAATCAACTCTCAATGTTACATTTTAAAAACTATTTGCACTTCCATGTAGTTAGAATTGTCAGGGTGGCACATCTGTTGTGGAAAGGCTAGTAATACTACTATAAGGGGCTATTCAATGCTCTCAATGTGTGTAGAGGGGGGGCAGTAGAGTTCGAAATCATCACCTATTTGTTGGAAGTCAACTGAATAGACTGATAAAGCCACAGCTCCAGAAAAAAACAATAAAGGTTTTTGTATTTCCCAGTGAATGAAAAAAAAAACGATATTGTTTTTACTGACGTTTCGCTATTTAATGCTAGTTATGTCTATAAAATAAAGTGCTTGGAATGTGATGCGATATACATCGGACAAACATCTCGAGAAACCAAAATCAGAAGAAATGAACACCGTAGAACATCTGTTCGACCACCGAGAAATCCGGTTGAACTGGAAAAACTTGAAAAATCATCAGCCATAGGTCTACACGCTGCAGAATCAGGCCACAAAATCAATTTTGACAATATTGAAATAATCCAGAAAAAGTTCAGAAATCACAAAGAACATCTAACATCATCTTAAGCACTTCATATCAAGTGGAATCCAAATTGCCTGAATAGGAATGATGGACTAAAACAGAATCTCACCTGGTTACAACACCTCCTTCCCCATGAAGTGACAAAATCAACACGAATGTGATAAGCAAGTTCACTATGTAAACACACACTACTTTTATAACTTTACACACCGATCAAATCCAACAATCTACACTTGGTTTTGTTATCTTTACTAAATGACCAACTTGACAACGAAAAATGACCCCAGATAGACGAACGATGATCAAGTTAGTAAACTTTATTTTGATATCATAACAGATGTACTATTACCTTTGTTATTTGGTTTAGTGATCTTCATTGTTATTTTGACTTTCAATATGTCCTTTTAACTTGACCTAAGTCTATTTTCTGAACCCTTAACTCTTTCAAATAAAGTATAATTATATTTCAATAGTTTACACACAACTCTTTGTTATATATATGCTGAGATTTTGTAAATTCCGGTTTAATAATACTTTGATAAAGCTATTAGCATTAAATAGCGAAATGTCAGTAAAAACAATATCGTTTTGTTTTTCATTCATTGGGAAATACAAAAACCTTTATTATAATGAATAGCATATACCCAATGCCCAAATTTTTTAACCGTTAAAAGTCATTTTGGTTTGGACATATATTAACCAGATAAAACAAGTTACCTGGAATAGATTTCTCATGCACCAGGGTAATTTTACGAAGCACGCATTGTAAACAAAACAAGATGATTTGGAGCGAACAATTGTGGTTTCAATAAATTCTTCTTCAGGCTATACACAGTTATAAATCCATGAATATCACAATACAAATAGCCATTGAAGGCATGTGAAAATTATATCGGAAACTGTATCGCAGCAGTGAGTTTTATTCAACGGTGTGCGAGGAAAATGATTACCACAAAATACAAACAAAAAACAAATACCAACAAATGAGAAACACTGAATGTAAAATTCAAGCAAGGGCTGACAGATATCAAGTGTAGCGGTTAGCACTTAGGACTTTGAATACAGCGACTCGAGTTCGCGTCTCAGAGAGGCGTCCAAACATCGCCTAATTAACAAGCTTGCTAGTTTTCTAGCCGGTCCCAAGTCCGGGTAAATAGGGAGGGTTGGGCGTGGGGCTAGCAACCCTACACCATTAAACCTAGCACACCGCTAGCGCACAGAAAATATATTGGAAATACAAAAACTTCAAATAATACTCTTATTCTTCGCTCGAATCGGAGAGGCGAAATGATACAGCAAGCTGGTGAAGATCCACCTTCAGGAAGCCAGTAAGCCAGACGACGTGTCTTCTCTCGATGAAAGCAAGAATAAGAATGGGGATGTGGAATGTATGTACAATGTATGAGGCTGGTTGGGAAGGCTGCTGAGGTAGCCAAACAAATGCGAAAACATGACATAGAAGCGCTGGGAATCTGTGAGAACAGATGCAATGGATGTGGATTGTCAAATATTTCAACTGGAGAATCGGTAATCTACCCCGTTCTAGTCACCTAGAGGACAACCACGAGCACACAGAGGTAGTGAGTGGCAATCATGATGTCACCAGTGGCAGCCAAAGACCTAGTGCAGTGGGAACCAATCTCCTACTGCAGGATAATGACAGCAAGATTCAACTCAAAAGGCAGGAAGCAAGGTCACAATTTATCATGCTACGCACAGTGCTACAAACAACGCGGAACAAAAGAAGAAGGAAGATTTCTATAAACAACTACAAACAAGAATAGACGACATCCCAAATGGTGACATCAAAATCCTCACAGGTGATATGAATGCCAGTCAAATTCGGGGTATATAAAACAGGAAGAGAACTCATCATAGGTCGACAGGTTCTAGCTCGGAGGTGCGAATGAGAACGGAGGATTATTCGCGGACTTCTACCCTGCTCTTTCAAAGATTTGGTTATCGGGGGCAGCGTGTACAAGCACAAGGATATACACAAAGCAAAATTGATTTCGCCTGACGAACGTACCACAAACCAGACAGACTAAATCTCCATGTTGCTCAAGGAAGTGGAGACACAACGTGTCTGTTGGACACAAAGTTGAGAAGGGGAGCAGATGTGGGCTCAGACCACCATCTAATTCAAGGAAACTTCGAGGTGGAGCTGAAATCCCTGAAAACATCTGGAGACAGGCCATTATAATTGAAGTTCAACATTGAGAAACCACAGGGGATACCTTCACTATGGATCAGGTCAGAGCAAAGTCAGATACACTACGTGGCATCACTGAGGAAACCTGCGTGGAAGAACATTGGGACTAACTCGGTTGAGGTGCTGTTCCAAGAAACGTGTACAACTGTCCTAGGAAGAAAGAAGAGACAAGACAAGGAATGACTCTCAACGGATGCCTGAAAGTCACTCGAAAAGAGGAGAGGAGGATGGTGAAAGAGAAGATGACCGCTCAATGCAAAGATTGGCAACCCAAGGAGAAGCTGAGTTCAGTGTACATTGCACTGAATCAAGAAGAATGTGAAGAAGAGTGCTAGGAAAGACAAAAGACAATTCTACGACACACTGACCGGCAACTGAAGCAGAACAGGCAGGTAGGTTTCATCTAAAAGAGATCTAAGGACATTATATCAGATAACCAGGTATCCATCCGGGAAAAGATCAACACACATCATGAAACCAATTAAAGACGCTCAAGAGAACCTGGCTGTCAAGAAGGAGAAACAAATAGAACGATGGGTTGATCACTTCAAATTACTCTTGAATCGAACTCACCTGCAACCCGCCTAAGAAATACCGCCACCAACAGCAGCAAACTGCCAGTGAACACCAATCTTCCAACGAAAACAGAAGTCCTAAACGCGATGAAGCTACTGAAGTCCAGACGGTAAGGCACCCGGATGGGATGGAATTCCCCCCACATCGAAGCACTGAAAACGAACACAGAGACTGCAGCAGTCGTGCTCACGCCTTTATTGCAAAAGGTCTGGAAGGAAGGGAAGGTGCCTACTAACTGGAAGAAAGGCTGACTACCTTGTCAAGTCCCTCACTCTGAAAGAACTGGTGAGGAATAATGCTCTTGTTCACACCAAGTAAAATACTAAGTCCCACCATCCTGGAGAAAATGAAAGATGCAGTGGATACAGAACTCTACCTGCTCGGAACAAGCAGCATTTAGGAAAGTCGAATACTGTGTTGATCAAATTGCAGCTCTACGCATTGTCATCGAACAAAGCACAGAATGCCAGTCAAACCTCAACTTCATCGACTTTGAAAACGACTTCGACAGCAGTGACCGAGAAGTAATTAGGAAACTACTTCGACACCACGGCGTGCAGTGTCCAAGTCTTTATCAACCTCATTCAACAGCTGGCTGGCTATATGACAGTGGAACATGTCAGGTGATCCACAACGGAAATCTCAGAGAAGCGTTCGAAGTGCATACAGGAGTAAGACAAGGCTACCAGTCTATTATCACCGATGATATTCTTAATTGTAGTGGACTAGATTATGCGTCAGACTGTGCATAGGCAGCGAGGAGTCAGGAATACCCTGATTCCAAACCTCCAACGACTGGCGTATGAAGTTCACTGGAGCTCACCGGCAGACGTATGGACAAAGGGCTTGTTGGATGTCCTGGATGTCTGGCCCCATTCACAAAGGCGTATGAACCGAACTCCGGTCACCGGCTGCCAATGGATAGTGGACTCCCTACTCCACTCCTACTGCCTTGTAGGTCACACTTGGTTGTGTAAAGGCTAGAGCTGCACTCTCAAACAAAAGGCCGAGCGATTCTGGGGAAATCACTCGTACCAAATTCCCATGAAACTTCCTGAACTCTCTTACAAACGACGCAAAACCTTGCATCAGATCGCCGCGCCTGGGCAGCGATGATTCGAGATGTTCATGAAGCCGGCTCATCCTCCCGTAGGAGATAGCCGAAGTAAAGTAAAGTAAGTAATACGCTGGATGACCGATGAGAAGACTCCGGAAGATCTGGATTTCACGTGTGGATGATATACGTCTAATGTAACACAACTCGAAGACTTGCAAGCGAAAACCGACAAACTGACAGAAGAAGCTGGCTGGCAGTGAAGACAGGATCGCAATGAAAGTATCGGAAAGCAAGTCAAATTGTCTGAGGCTAGCGAAGTTAAGAAATTGAAGTGTAAACTACTGAAATAAAACAGATATACACTAAAACAGAATAAGAAGCGATTAAACACTGAAACCACCTAGGAGATGGACAGCAACGACAAACGAAAACATGTGACCTTTGTAGTCAAAACTAAAGTAAAAGATAAAACAATCTACAAGTCTGAAACGGGAGAAATTTTCGAGGATACTTAACCATAAAACACTATTACTACGACCTAATCAATAAACCAGGAAAAATTCCAGAAAAAAACAAAACCAATTGCAATAGCACTTACTGAACATAATGCCGTCGTTGAATCAGCATCATGAATTTGTTTGTCAGATACTTTCTCATCTACTTTATCTTCTATGGAAGCTTGAGAGTTTTGATCTTTTTCAGAGATGATCACGCCACATTTATTACTGCTGCTGTTGTGGACTAATTCAGTTGGATCAAGATTACCTGTTCCATTCAGTATAGTTCTGACTTGTTCCACTGAAAGATCATCTAATTCACGAATACATCTATGCCATAATTCTGAAACACCCAACTGGTAATCACTTCCATCAAATGATACAAAAGGTTGTACAATACATGAAACTCTTGGATTTTTATTCGATGAGTGTTTTGCATCTCTACGCTCTCGTCTAGCACAGATTGACAACAGGCTAGCTGAGACTAGATCACGAAGTTTTGATGGTCCAATTGAAAGCCAAGCTTCTGATAATAATTGATAATGATCATCAATAAAATGTTCCAATTGAAAAATTGGTCTATCTTTATAACTATGACTTAGACCAGAACGTAGATTTTCAACATTTTTACGTAAGGCTTGAATTTCATTTTCACAATCATATGGACAACCACATGAAGGCAGTTTGTTTTTATGCTTTTCTGAACGGTTACGCTTTTTATCTGAATCAACCATAGTACATACTGCTTTAGTAAGATGAAGTAATTTAGCTTTTTGACAGTCTTTTGATGTATTTCGACTATTTGATTTTCTTTTGGTTTTTCTATGATGTGAACGACTATTGCGCTGTTTGGTATGATGACTTTTTTGCTTTTCACTAAGTGCACTTGACGAACTACGTTTAGAATGAGAACGACCCATGAGTTATGAGGAGTAGGTTATTATAAAATCGATAGTAACCTAGAAGGTGAACGAAAAGCGGGGGTGGGGGTGGGGTGAGAAAAGAAATATAACCCAAATCTGCTTTGTTGCATAATGTTAACTTTTCAATAGTGTAAATGAAATGATTAAAAGTACAAGTAGAAATATTTCCGGTTAAAAAGAACCAACCAAAATCACACTGACCGCAGTGTAACTCTTAGTTCATTAAACCATAGTAAAGTGAAAACAACGGGTGCGTCGGTGGCACAGCGGTAGAGTTCTAGCCGACCACGCAGGTGATCCAGGATTCGATTCCCAGCCGACGCACTCCTTTACTTCACTAAGCCAGTAGTAAGACTAGCAAGGAGGGAACGTTGGGGCATGAGGCTAGCAACCTCATCCTGTAAAAAAAAATCACCACTGCTACAGAAACTTCAAGCCTCTAACTTGAAGCCCTATGTTCCACTGGGAACGTAAAGGAATAAAAAAATGGAAACAACAGTGTAACGAGTTGAGACAACATAAGCAAGTGACTAACTTGCACACAAGCGCAGCAGTTCCAGTTGCTCCACTCCATGTAGCACATAAAGAACAAGAAAATCGATTTAAAAGAACGATAATGAGCAGAATTGTGAAAAAAAAGGATAGTAACATGGAATAACATTAAGGGTTAATGGATAATGACAAATCACAAAGAGTGAATGCATGTGCGTCATCACTAACAACGATTTTGAGCCATATCACCAATTTTCTCCAGCCTTCAGTGGTTCTCACCATCCCAAGGAGCTCAACTAGGAATTTGACATCTCCCTAAGTGGCTGGCTGGCTCAAACTAACCGTTAAAAATTTCATGCACTGATGACATGTTTTTTGCTTGGCCATCACTAGCTCTTTTCCAACCTGATCCAATGGTAGCTAACACTGCCAGTTGAGAAAGGCAATGGCTAGGACAACTGCTACGCATGACTAGCCACCCCAGTGGATTCACCTTCACAACCTCACCGGGTGAATTACTGGATTCAGTAAATATTACTGTTTCACTGTGTGATATATCTAATGAACATATTAATATGGAACTAAATACTCCCACAATTCCCAAGTTTTACACATATATTAAGAGCCTTCTGTATTTGTGCCAAGATTTCGTCAGTAATCAGCTGATACAACTTCCTGAATAAATGAAGCGGTTTTCTTTATTCCTTTACGTTCCCAATGGAACATAGGGCTTTAAGCTGCAGGCTTGCTGTTTATTTTTACAGGATGGGGTTGCTAGCCTCATGCCCAACATTCCCTCTTCACCAGTCTTATTACCGGCCTAGAGAGGTAAAGAAGTGCGTCAGCGGGGATCTAACCCCGTACCACCTGCTTGGTTGGCAAGCATTCTACCGCTGTGCCACCGACACCCTATCACTGCACTCCCTATTTTCAAGCTAGTCCAGTCCTATAGTATCATCTTACATTTGATAGGATCAAATCAAGCTGCCCCACTCCAGCAAAGTACAAAATCACATAGAAAGGAAATGAAAACACAATGGATGAAGACATATTAGAAGGGGAAAAACAAATGAGGATTAGTGAACATTTGCAGATCAAAAGAAAACGGGATATGTATCACAGATTTATCTATCTGTGACTGACTTAGATGAATACGTGCTACTCATAATAAGCCACAATTACTGTAAGAAGTAGAATGACACAAGTTAACTGCACAAACTTTAATGCATTCAAATCCATAATGCTGTCGGTTACTAACTCACTACCCGGACCCGTGAACACAATTACCCTAGAAACAGAGTTATGTAATAAAGAGGCACTGCGTGCCAAATTATTCTCTACCATAATTTCAATGCTTTCTTTATATATTAGAGTAATAGCTCCACTTGACCAACTTTAGTAAGAACCAATAGAGCTACCGGTAGAAATACAAGAACTTCATTTTGCAGTACCATTGAATGTCGACGATATTTTGCAGGTCGTGCATCATAAAATAACGCCTTGGAGTTGACAAGTCATATCATCTAGACGAGCATTCAGAAGCGACAATCGTAACCGACGATTACAATGTACTGTTAGAGAAGCCAAACCAGAAAGTTATTTAAATAAAACCAGCTTCAGACAAAAGGACATTGTTTGAGAGTCTTTAAACCTCAATTCAATGAATACAAGCAAATAATATCGATATAAGCTGCCAGTGCAGGTGTGGCGATTTTGTCTTCGAGAGCATTTGATGAGCAGTGAACACGTGTTGATGTAAGCATCGTCTATTTCGAAAAAACAGAAGACATATTTTCATTAGTTGAGTGATTTGTTCATTTATGTTACATTATCACTCTATGCATCAACGGCACTAAGTTCATTCTAAAATAATGGGTTGGTGTCATCCATACCTTTTTCCAAACTAATCCTAATTGATGTTCAAAAAACTTAATGTCCTGGTACGTCAGTTAGTTGGTTAGATCTCAGTGAACCAGTACTGGGCTACAAGCCACATTTGTTGTGTAGGGGCTAACGACACTACTTGATTGCTCAAGCCGAAGCAGGTGAAACTGTTGGTTGGTCTGTTAGCTAACACCGTGTAATATTAATACAACTTAGTCCCACTTAATTATACAGAGGACAAAGACACCTATGGCATAAAACTTTCAACTTGGCCTAAATTTCCACTTTCAACGTGAAGTAAGACAAACCGAAACACTGTGCAGAACATACGCCCTTTGCTGAGTATCGTGACATCACACTGGTATCAAAAGCAGCCCATGTCGATAACTGCCGGAAGAGTCTTTTGGATTTGTACTAGGATAGAGTTAACAATTGATCAGGTTCTAACATGGGAAACTGTTTTTATAAAATCCTCGGAAGATCTACCAACTAGTAACGTCATCACGATCCTTTAGCAGTAATATTATGAGAAGCATGTGTACTTTCGAAAATATTTTCTTTCTGAAACATACTAATCTAAAATAAAATTTATTGGACTATCTTATGCTATATTAGTCCACTTCTGCGCAGGAGCATATGTGAATGAGTGTCCTCATGAGGACCGTTTTAATGAAACCACAGTTTCTACGTGATTAGACAAGATTGCGATACTTTAGCTTGAAAGAACTGCTGCAACCTTTTCTTGTTCAATTTAGTATCTACTCAAATGAACATGAATGAATGAAGAATGATGAAGTGAAAATTTAACATAAATGTTAATCGTGTATCTCCCTATATTGTGGGCACGCATAATACATACACTTTTTTCGGTCATTATCCTAAACACATACTTCTCGAGAGATGTATCTATGATTAGCAACTGACATCTAAGTATGAGGAAGAAACCGGTTCGTCTATCATTTACAAATATACATATATGCGTATGAGGACACAATATGCGTAGCAGTCTAGCACTGCATAAGTATATTTAAATTGTGATGTTATAACATCACAATGTTAGATATATATATATATGTAACATGAACTTGATGAACATGATGAACAGGTTCATCAGATGTGTCTTTTGAGTTATATACGAAAAGATTTATGAAAACCTGCAGTCTATATGTGTTACGGAACGTGAAAACATTATTACAAATCACATACTTTTAGTATTCACGGCAGAAATTATTAACAAACAAATTAATAACAAAAGTAACGCATCCTTTGGATTTGGCACTCAACAAGACCAATATGCAATATCCCAGAGCAATCTATGGACTGAAATGCTGAGGCCATTGGATGGAAAAGGCACTTGAAGATCCCTTTTGGCTGTGTTGGATTACTGTTACCTAACCGTTCGTCCCCACACTGACTTTTCGTTTATCCTGCAATTATTCAGATTTATTTGTTGAGGATAGAAGGCTTAGAGCCTATGTTAATCATTTTCTAGTAAATTTCTGTGCTTGTCCAAACCCTTCTTAAATGAATCAGTTGAGGTTACAGATACCACTTCTTCTGGGAGTCGTTTCCAAGAGTTTATGACGGTGTGAGAACCAGTACTCAACAGTAACTTAATTTCTTCTTTGCTTTTGAACTCTCCTGCTATGTCCTCTAAGATGTTCCAAGCTGATGGGAAGGAAAAGAGAGAATAAATCAGGTCCGTAGTCATCATTTAAAATTTTAAACATTGTGATTCAGTCACCTCTCTGCCTGCGGTATGATAGGGAGAATAGATTTAAACTGTCTAGTCTTTCCTCGTATGATAAGTTAGTCATACCGAGAACCATACGTGTTGCCTTCCTTTGAACCCTTTCTAGAATGAGTCCCCTTTAAGACAAGGATAGGCTGCCTGTATACATCATTCAGTCTTGAACTCACCAGAGATGTACGAAAGGAGGTGGATATATCTCTGGTGATTCTAGTAAAGACTCTGCGAAATGCCCACAAAGATTTGGAGCTAACTGCAGAAAATGTGCGACAATGTGCTGTAGTTTTTAAATCGTGGCTAACTGTGACACCTAAATCCAAGTGAATCTGAACTGATGTAATTGTTTTGCAATTAAAAGTGTTCTCTGAGCTGGTTGGTTTAGTCGCTAAGCTTTCGTCGTCCTTCCGGACAACATCTTCAGCGCCATATTTAGCACAGAGTGAAATGATTTAAATTTCTTCATGCGTGATGTAATTGCGTCTCCTGGTTACTATCTTCACATATGTATTGACCACTTTCTATTGACTAGGATTTTAAACTTTTTGGTCACCTGATTTACTTTTTATTAATTGGTATATTTCATCTATATTAACGTGTTTGTTAATCGCATTTTCGTTTGAGTACCAGGCTTCTAGGAATTCTCTGGCACTTTTCGTGTTTCCTCTGTTTAAGATTTTGACGTGATCCCAATCAAACTGATGACCATAGTTGTCTGCATGCATTGATACTAACGAATACATATCATGTCTTTTCACGGCTGATTTATGTTCTTGGATTCTGATTCGAAGGGGACGCCCACTTTGGCCGATGTAATGCTTGTTACAGTTCATACAATTTATTTTGTAGATGGTATTAATTTTATCCCCTTTTTCTGCTGGATCTTTTGTTTTGCATAATATCGAATTAAGCGATTTTACTGGTTTGTGTGCTATATTTATATCTAACGGTTTCAGTATTCTGGCTGCTATTTCAGAGATAGTCCTCATGTATGGTAGAATGAATTTTCTTGTGGTCTTTAATGATGGTTTCTTGTTGGTGTTTTCATTCGACTTTAAACACTTTTTGATGAAATTTCGTGGATAACCATTCTTTTTGAAGACCGTTTGTAGGTACTTTTCTTCCATTCTTTTCAGCTCTGAAGTGCTACAATGTGTCTGAACTCTTTTAAACAATGTCTGCACACAGTTTCGTTTGTGAGTAACTGGATTGTTGCTAGTATGGTTGAGTATTTGATCTGTGTGCGTTGATTATGCGTAATTGTTATTCCCTCTAGTTCGTAGGAGATCGTGCTTGCTTGTCGAATGCGCATGGTTGCACATTTTGCCACATTGATCGGGAGCATCCATTCTATGGACCACTCTGTCAATTTGTTGAGGTCTTCTTGAAATGTGTGAGCATCACTGTCGCCCTTCAGCCCTCTCCACATTTTTAAGTCATCTGTGTATAGGACCATAGGGGAGTCGGTGAGCAGAGATTACTCAATGATATAGAAAATAAATAGTAGAGGTCCGAGTACCGTGCCTTGTGGCACTTACTGATGTCCAAGAGGAGAGTTTTGGGTTGATCCTAACCCCCTGTCTCCTGTCTGTGAGAATATCCTTGAGCCAGTTTAGCAATCTGCCTTTGATACCAAGACTTTTAAGCTTCGTGAGTAGTCTTTTGTGAGGAGCTTCATCAAAGGCTTTGCTGAAGTCTATGAAGACGACGTCAACGGGTCTCCTGTTTTGCCCCAGCTTCCCTTGCTTTGAGGAGATTTGACAGGCATAAGAGGTTCCTTCGGAAGCCGTGCTGTGCCCTGTATAACATTTTGTTGTTTTCCAGATATCATGATACTTTCCTCGATGATTCTTTCCACTCTCTTGACTAAAGTGCTGGTGAGACTGATAGGCTTGTAATTTGAAGAACTTTGTCTTGATCCTCCTTTGTGGATGAGGGTTTCTGTGGCGTATTTCTAGTCACGCGGTAACACTGCATTTAGTAGATAGAGCTTGAAGATCGTGGTCCATAGGCCGGCTATGTGAGCTGATAGCTTTTTGAGAAGCCTTGGATGAAGATTATCAGGACCCATGGATTTTCATGCATCTACTTTCCTTACGCAGCTGGGCACAATATCTCGGTGAATGTCAATGGAATCCAACTTGTGTTCCTCTGATGCAGTCAGAGCTGATCCTACGAGGAGTGACGACTCCTGTGTAAAGAGCCGGAAGAAGTAGTCTGATATTGCTTCTGCTTTTTCTTGATCTTATTCGATTGTGTCATTGTCAATAGTCAGGTTTGGGACACCGTCGGATGTCTTATTCCTGAAGTTCATGCACGAGGAGATTTTCCTAGGTTGTGCCTTTGCATTTTGATCCACTTAGTTTTTACCTCTACTAATGGCACTCGACTTTCAGATGACAATGGCTACAAACTAAGACACACTAAGGGTACAGTAGCTATCGAACAATGTAAAACAGCCACCAGGCAAAAGTTTTACTTGATTAGGTATGCACAGATATGGAATAAACTGCCAATGGAAATGCGTCAAGCAAGTACATTGGCCTCCTTCAAAAAGGTGCTTAATGACAAACTACAAGAGTTTGCAAACGATAGTAGTTCTAGTTCCTATCTGAGAGCCTCCGAGATTATAGGTCCATTTAATGTATAAGCTTAAATACTACACCTGTTGTTTTTTGCCTATATTTATAATTCTAGATAAAACATTAGCGGTTAAGATACGTATCCTCAAACGGACAAGAAATCTCGTTTGTAGAACTACTACCCAACACAATAAGTGGAATAAAATGGACGTAAACCGACAACATGAAAAAGGTATAACTCACCACAACATCACATGGACAGATGAACGCTCGTTGGGCACCATATATCCCTCACCAACTGCAACCCACCTTTCCTTGGATAATGTGATGAACTTATATCCATAATGTTGCTGGGCAGTTAATATTCTCAACTCCTGTAGGAACAGCTGAAACTCATAAACCTTCCTAACGCTAAGAAAATACCCGCAAGCAGTAGAAATCCATTAATTAATGCGTCTGAAGCTTATATATTTACTCCCAACAATGACATTGCAGATCAAATGAGATAAACACATCACTGATTTCAAAATAACACATCAATGAACTATAATTCGAGGACTTTGCACGCAACAAAGTTATGTATGAATATTTACTTCAAGCTTTATTTTTTTCCCAGGCACCTATAATTCATCCACCAAAGACCTGGTTTTTTTGTTAATGCGAAGACAATACTTCTGTATTTCCTGTTGTGTTGCACTCACTGACAATCTAGCAGATTTTTCCAACTTTGCACAGAAATGATTGTCTATAAGTGAAAAGGCTGTTTTATACTACTGGGATTAATATTTATCAAGTGTATGCATAATCTCCAGCGAACATGTAAGGCATATCTTGCTACTGCCTGTAAATTGTAATTGAATTATATGGTTCTATTTCTGTAACAATTTGATGATGTCTGTAAACTGGCGTCCCTCATGTACTGTACTATGAGAATAAATTTATTTATTTTATTTATAACCGAATATATGAGGTAACTCCACCACCTTTCCAGCTAACTACTCTGTCTTCTCTGATGCAGATGTACCTACGTACGGGTAAGGTGTACAACACCAGACAACCATGTCTCAGTTATAGCAATAACATCGGGTTGCAGTCCTTCAAACAACACTCGTGATTCAGGGAGCTTTATTCCTAAGACTACACGCGTTTGTATAGCTTAGTGAGAGACCAATGTGTTCACTCGACTTATGAGCAGAGGTCTGAGCAACATAGGTTTACAAGACCTCACTATCTGAAAACCGAACAGTTGAATGTTTCCATCATTTTCTAGTCGGGCCTCTAAATGAGCAACGGCTTTTCTTCCTTTAATTCTACCTTCCAGCGGTCAGTCGGGCCTTATTCTCAGTTTTTTGCCCTTGATTTTAAATGCATAGCTGAGAACAATGTTTTTCTCCATCTCGTTCCCCAATATTATCTTCAGCATTCGTGGGGAACTTTCCATTGCATCAGCATTTCGTTTACCGATTCTGATGGGCTTTCCTATATGTACTTCATTTGGTTTTTTCAGGAACTACTTCACAAATAATGGGCCTAACTAGTTCGAGGTCATCAGCACGTCGGGCAGCTGGGCCTACTTTCTTTGACTCATCCAATTTACAAATTACGATGCTGTAACTTGAGTCTGAATGTTCCGTAATCGAATTAGTATTCACGAACGTCGAGATCTAACCACTAAGCCCAGTCTTCTTCACTTTCATATTGTTCTTGGGCTTCCTGTATTATGGCACTAACCAAGTGGAATTATTTCTTCCACTTTGTTCTCGCCGCAGATGGAAGCCATGCGTTCACCAGACACGCAATGCCTTGTCGTGGTAGTATCACCTAGTGGATTTACAACGTGGACACTAATTGCCTTCTTAGAATTTTGGAACCTTCTGGGTGCCATTGAGGACTTTCGGGCACACTGTACCTCTTTTGTATCTATCGCTTCGGGATGTGGTTCTGTCTCATTCTTATGACTCAGTCCAGTATCATCATTCCTGGCA